GCACGTCGCCTATGTTGGAGGGCACGTTGAAGGTGCCCATCATCATGTAGCCACCGCTCCCGTTGCGATCGGGGTGAGGCCCCGCTCCTCCTCCCCCGCCGCCCCCTCCCGCACCCCCCGGGCCCCCCCCTGACCCCCCCCCACCGCCGCCACGCTGGGGGCCGCCAGCGCCGGCAGCAGACGCCGAGGACTGCGCCCCGCCGGGCCCCTCGGCCGGAGGGCGGGAGGGCGGAGGTGCCCGCTCCACCAGGTGGATCACCTTGCCGTGGACGTCTGCAGGGGGTGGTGGATGGGGAGTGGGGGGGGCGAGGGGAGGGGGCGAGGGGGGGTTACATAGCCAAGGTGACGCAACAAACCTGGCTCCACGCTGTGGGATGCGAGTGACGTCACCATCGCCGTGGGAGCCTTTTTAGCCCAGGTCTACCAATCAGGTACTCAACATCGGTCGACCAATCGGGTTTAAGGACGTGGGGGTACGGTGGAGGGGGGGGGGGCACTCGCACAGATCAAAAAGCAGTTCAAATCGAGAGGATTTACGAAAACTAAACTAAACTTTTTATTCTACCAGGTAAGGCCCACTGAGCGACACAGCTCTTGTTCAGAAGCGACCAGGCCGTCACAAATCACCGCTCAACAAAGTGGCTTATCACGTGGAAATTCACAGCCGCAGCCAAATATTCTGAAGGCACCTCACAATTCTAATTGTGGAGGGAAAAACTGGAGGAGCTGGAGAAAATCCACGCGACCACGAGGAGAAAGATAATACACGTAAACTCCAAATACACAACAGGCGTCGTCAGGGTCGGGATCGAACCCATGACCCTCCTGTAGACCAGGCGAGGGCGTTAACATCTCTCAGCCACCGTGCATAGCTCCAGTGGCTTCCCAATAATCGGAAGGAGCGCGGCGAACGGTGGCGACTTGTGGCCACCAACCGATGCGTACGGGCAGGCTGGACGCCAGGCGGGGGGTGATGGGGGGGGGGGGGACAACCCACCATACTCCTTCAGCTTCTTGTCATCCTGCAGCACTCTGCCTTGGTAGATGAGCCTCTGTTTGTCGCTGGCAATGGCCACAGACGTCGCGATCCTCTCCTTGAACTCCTTCACTGTGATCTGCAGACGCCGGCGGGTGTGGGGGGAGGGGATGGCAAGGCAGCTCAGCCGCACGGCCACAGGTTGCAATCCGCGCTTATCCACGAGAGAAGGTTTAGTTGGGTTAAATCGCGTAGATATAAATACGTCATGAAACCCACCACCACCTGACACAGACAATTGTAAGTTGTATCACGTAAACATAAACGTGGCCAAATAGTTACTAGTTCAGCACTAACTGGTGTGTGTGTGTGTGTGTTGGAGAGTAAACCAACACTAGAATATTTTGATTTGAAGCTTTCGTGACTGCAGGAATTCACTCTTTGGTTCTTTCGGTAAAGTCACGTAGGTAGAAATAAAACAAAATAAACCACGACGCTTCGGACGCAACACAAGCGCCCGTGTTCAGGTGAAAATCGCAATGTCTGCTACGAGCAGCACCATGTCTGCTGCCTTGTGAAGAGAAGCTGTTACTAGCAAGAGTTTATATCAGCTTTTGAGAACTTATATAAACTCTTGCTGGCTCGAGAGGCACGGCGTGCGATGTATTGACATCGCATGCACCACGTATATGTGGGTGCAGTACCGGCCCAAGAGGGGCTCGGTGAGCACTGATTGACGGTGCTGGATGGCACCGCACTCTGCGTGCTGGATGGCACCGCGCTCTGCGTGCAGTGCCGACCCCTACAGGGTAGGGTGTGAGAGTGCGGGCCACGGGAATGGGGCTACTAAAGGGCCATGGCACTCTGGTTGACCCCGAAGGACACGTGACCGGTAAAGTCTTCACAGGGTCCCCCAGGAGGGGGCTAGGGGTGGTCACGTGTTGGGTGGAGAAGCTACGAGAGTTTCTAGAAGGTGGTCGTGTCCAAGGGCAGAGCCAGCCACGACCAGTGAGGATACAAGCTGGGTCCCCAGAGGGAACGGGGTTCGGCGTTGTTGTCGTCATCTTGAAGCTCTACGTCCTACGTCCGAGAAGTCACCAACACGTAGACCTGGACCCAAACCGGGGTCCTGTCCGTTGTAGCTACTCCCAGTGTGATTAGCGTAGTTAGCCTGGTGATCCACCACTATAATGTGTAGCTAGCCTGGTAGTCCACCACCATAATGTGTAGCGAGCCTGGTGGTCCACCACTATAATGTGTAGTTAGCCTGGTGGCGATGTTTACACACCGCTCCAGGTACTTATTTGAGGCCAAGTCGACCTAGGGGAGGCCTAGGATCGTTTCTAGTGTTGGCCGTGAGCGGGAATCGAACTCGGGTTGCCGGGTTTGTAGTGCGGCGTAGCGCTAACCGCGACACGCTACCACCGCTGCCCACGGTTCGCGCCGAAGCAGTCGCCAATTGGCCACGTTTCGTCCACGTGACACAAACCCTTACCGACTGGCCGTGTCAGGTGGTGGTGGTGGTGGCGAAAGCTTACGACTACGACTACTACTGTGTTAAACGTTGAGGACGCTTTGTCCGAAAAGAAAAAAATTAAAGCAAAGCGAGGAATTAAATAATCTCCCGCACGTAGAGTGGGGTCTATAACGGCGGCATCTACAGTGGTGCCTCCCTTAACGATATTAAATCGGTGATAAACCATCGTTAATCAAAATTACCGTTGATCGAATATAGAAAATGCACGCTAAAGGCTTAAAAATTTGTTCGAAGTCTGTCAGAAGCTTATTTATTTATTTCACCCTAAAAGCAGAGCTTGTAATATTTAAAACACTACATTTTAATAAAAAAAACGTTATAAGAACACACGAAAGCATTAAAATTAAAATAAACATGGATAGAGCATTAAATCGGTGCATAAATAAGAGCATAAAATACAAATTGCTACCTTGGGCTAAGAACACGGATGGCTTGAGGGGTTGATGGAGAAGCTGGGGTGGGAGCAATTTTATTGAATTCTTTAACCAATTGCTTTCCTCACTTCCTTCACGTTCATTTCAGGGGGCCCATTGTTGTCAACCTTTAACTTTTAAGCAAAAAGAAACACCAAGTATTCACGAGAGCTGTTTCCACAAGCACCGCACACCATCAAACATTGAAAAGCTCGGCTAGCAGCCAGCTGCTCTCAAAACGCTCATAAGAGGGGCCCCTGCTGCCCGAGTCCACTTGGGAGCGCTCCGATTGGCTGAAAACGTTGTCGTTAAATGGGAAATTTCGTGTTAATAGAAACAATGGGGGGGGGGGGGGGGACCCGGTAGGAGGCGGATCGGCAAGCGATGGCACCGTACACCGAGGTGACCACCGCACACCGAGGTGACCACCGCACACCGAGGTGACCACCGCACTTTATTTAAATTAGCGGAATAGCGGAATGAAAGCCGGCAAGGAGGTTAGCAAAATCGGGGTGAAAACTCTCCCTGTGACACGTCTGCAAATAGTCAACGTTCTGTTCTAAGTTTGTGTCTAAAAGCGCTTCGGGGAACAACCTTTTGATGGAAAAACTAATAAGAGGCGGCTTTATTTACCCTTTCTGGCAAGAAAACAGGAGCCGTTGAGATGTTCAAACACCAAATGGATAGCAGCGCTTGTGAAGCATCAAGTCTGCATTAACCAAACACACTACTTGTGGAAAAACATGCAAACGAACGTGCTCTTACAATAATAAATGCATTGTTTTTGAAACGCGTTGATGTTGGAACACGTTAACGCCTGTTTTATTGCCAGAAAGGGTAACGCAACTCTTATTTTTCCATAAACTAAGCGAACTAAACTATTTTTATTTTACCAGGTAAGGCTCACCGAGGTATGTAGCTTTTTTCAGTAATGACCTGGCCACAAATGTATATCAGCAGCCAAATATTCTAAACGCATGACGTCGATTCAAATGTGGAGTGATAAAACTGAGAGGACCCAGAGAAAAAATCCATGTGACCACGGGGAGAGACACGCAAACTCCAAATACACAGCAGGCGCAGGGATGGGATCGAACCCAAGACCTCCTGTGTACAAGCCTAAGGAGATCACATCTCATAGCCACCGTGGCAGCCATCATTTTGATAAATGGCAAAAAGGGTCGCACAGATGTAACCTTTTTGATGGTTTTGTCCGGTTCTCTCCCATGACAGCAACAAAACCTTACACGAACGTTTGATTCAAACTGGATTACCATTACAAGCGCTATAGTGCACCCTCGCTTCCCCACCGTGACAGATGCACGGACAGACAGAGCTAATGCAAAAACACTTTCAATGTTTTTACAGAAAGCATGTAGAGCCTACACGAGGATAGGAATGGGTTAGAGGTGAGAGCCAGGGACACGGGAGAGAGGAGAGAGAGCAACACTGCAGGAGGATCTGGCACAAAGCAACCGGGAGGACTGAGCACCAACAACAACCACCACCACCACCACCACCAAAACTACCAATGAGTGCCAGGGGCAGCTAGCGAGTGCGGCAACGAAGAGCCCCCAGGACACACTTAAGTGGGCTGGGGACTTTCCACGCACGCCGCCTCGTTTCCATGCCAGGCTGAGTACAGGCTGTCCTGCAAACAACTTACTATTAATACTGGTAGGAACCCACTGGTTTCACCAGCCCACAGGGGATTATTGTGTCCGTCCGTCGTGCAGGGAGGGGCTGGGGAGGGTGGGGCTGGGTGGAGAGGGGAGGGTTGGGAGGGGCTGGGTGAGGACGGGGCTGGGTGGGGAGGGGCAGGTCAACCTGTGGTGCCCTTATAATACTCAACGTTTAACCTACTCACGCCGGCTTGTGCCCACCCTCACAGTCGGGCATATTTGCAGAATACACCACGCCGCCGTTGACCCTGGCCATTGACCGAGCAACCCAACGTTCCTATCAGCTGCCTCCGCAAGAATGTGTTGTTATTACTACGACTACGCCTGCTTACTCACGGACACCTCAACGAGTCTTGCGACTCGTTGAGGTGTGGTGTGTGCTGTGCGTGGGCTGGAAATGGGGAGCGGTGGTGGCGCAGAAGTTGGCGCTGCGAACCTGGCAGAGATCGGAGTTCCATTCCCACTCACGGCCAACAACACCAGCGACAATTATCCGAACCGGTCCTGGGCCTCCTCCCCTAGGTCGACTCGGCCTCAAATGTGTACCTGTGTAGCTGTGTGTAGCGACTGGGCGTGATGCTGGCCACCCACCCCCTCGTTTGCTGTACCGGCCTTCATAGGTGCTACTCGCCAACAGCACTTGCTCCTACAGTCTCTGTTAAGGCTACATGGGGGATCTTTGTCTTTTTGATGCAAATTGTACGTATGTTGAACCTCTTTCGCACCGTGCGTAGCCAACCGCGCAAATTGGAGGTGCGGGGGGAGGACAAACTAAAAACAAGCAGTTCTAAAGAATTTCGTTTTCAATTTTGTACAGTGGCGGTGTAGTGTAGTGTACAGGAGTAGTGTAGTGAATAGTAAGTGTAGTGTCAGCCACGAGTCTGGTTTTGGTGCTAATAAAGAAATGGCAGAGTTATATAGAAATCACACTTTGAAGCCTTGTACAACGGTTTAATGCAACAGGTCCCAGTCACTTTGCAGAACGGGGAGGGAACGCACCACTCCACGTAGAGGTGCGCCCTAGAATCGAACCCCAGGCCCCTTTCTCGCAGTGAGGCACGGATGCCACGGTGGCTAGCAGATGTTAGCTACCTCGCCTGGTATGCAGGAGGTCGTGGGTTCGATCACGACCTCGACAGTGCCTGTTGTAAATATTTGGAGTTTGCGTCTCTCTCCCCCCGTGGTCACGTTGATTTTTCTCCGGGTCCTCCAGTTTTCCCTCCACATTTGTAGTGGTGATGATGGAGACTCGGTCTTCTCTGGAGGTAAACACTTTTATTTATAACTATAATAACGGCAACACAACGTCCCTGACACAAAGGGGCACTGGCCTCTTCCACCCGATACCCTGGGGAGGTAGAGCCTCCAGGCTAGTGTCCTATCAATGGGACCACTTCCTCTATATACATCAACCCTACGGCTAGGGGACCGAGGGGAGGCGAGCTGACCTGACCCAGCCAAGGTCATCGGGTCCCGGCCACTGACCCACTCAGTCCCGGCCCTTAGAAGGACGTCGGGTGCGGGGTTCCCAGGGTCCTAGTCCAAGCTGGCTCTTCAGTCTTCAGCTTGACGACGACTGGCAAACCCGTTGAGGGGTCCGCCTTATCTACAGCTCCCAGGGTCACTCCGCCCCCCCTGGCCACGCCTACTCTCTGGAACCTTCTGAAGGGACCTGGATTATTGCGTAACCTCCGGGTTCCCTGGCCTCACGGCGTCACTTGATGCAGGCCAGACTCGCCGTTGCCCCGTGGCTGACGCTACACCAGGTAAGTAGTGGTAACCGCGTGTAACGCACAATACCCACTACACGTTTAACACGTTCCTTCCGAGTGGGCAGGTAGGAACTTGGTTGGACAGCGCATTCGTGCGCTACAGACAAATATGCACGACAGACAGACAAATAATCCCTGGTGGGCAGTGTGGTACCTGTTGTTCCTACCTGTATAAACATGCGTTTAGAGTAAGTGACAACTGCTATACTTTCCCAAATTATTATAAGCTACTTCATTGAGCTATCGTTTGTGGCAAGGGCACATCTGAAAAAGAACTAAATAGCTCAGCGTGCCTTACCTGCTAAAATAAGATTAGTTGAGAGTTTAACGCTACTACCCTGGTACGATAAAAACAACAATTCTGTTCTCCTATAACGTGGCGGTTGTAGTAGTTGCGTTCCTGAAGAACACCGTGTTATGGAAAAATCGCGTTATAATAAATCATACATAATATAGGGGGTAAAGCACAGTGTGCGACAACACCATGAGATTCGCAACACAGGGCCTTGCGCGACGACGATGATGCTACACCGAGGCAGCTGCCGTTACGACGGCTTATTCCTAAACACAGCGTGACGTAGTTCCGTTCGCTCGATCGCATTATATCCAATGCAGGAGACATAACACAGGCTGCACAAAGACCGAGGGCACGTGGTGGATAGCATCCAGATGCATCCAGCAGCATCCCAATGTCTCGTGCGATGATGCTACAGAGCCAGACGCACGGCCACTTTATTCCTACGCAAACCAACAAAGGTCTGTTCGCTCGGATCACGTCACACACATCCCCATTCACATCCACGCTATAATTTTTTTTATGTTTCCTACATTCATCGTGTTACACATCCACTGACGCGTTGTGAAAACAACAGGCGGCATTATAGGAGAATGAGAGCGCACGTTGTAATATGGAGGAGCGCCTTACCTCCTCGGGCACGGAAAAGGCCCGCGTCTGTGAGTCGAGCGTCTTGACCGTCACGTCCAGCATGGCGCCGTCCGGAGCGCCTGTCAGACGTAGAAACACAGCGCGGCCACGGTCAGACGGAGCGTCTGTCAGACGTAGAAACACAGCGCGGCCACGGTCAGACTGTCCTGATCACCCGTCAGACAAGAGATACAGCACACGCACGGTCAGAGACGGAACGCATGTCAGACAGACACAGCATGACCGCGCTCAGCCGCCCTGAGCGCCTGTCAGACAGACAGAGACAGTGCAGCCACTGTTAGAAACGGAGCCACCCCACCCCGCCCCCTCCAAAGGAACCGATCAACGTCCCACGCAGACTCCAGTCAATCTGTCGGCAGCCTCGACCACCACAACCCATGCCACCCCCACTTTGGATGAGCCTGGGACGATGATCATCCTCACTGGAGGAGTCCCTCAGCCTGTGGAGGTCAGCAAGCAGTGGTGGTATTGTACAACAAGCACTGCTAATCTTGTTATATATATATCTATCTCTTCTACTCACCGCTATGCTTAATTTTTTTTATGACAAAAACCCGGGAAAATGAGTCGAGTCGGGCAACGCAGATACCGACCTTAACATCAGATTTTTTTTATTTTTTTTACAAAAAACCTTTTTTCTTTGCTAAAAACACAGCCTGAATAGAGGCTCTCACCGGTGCCGGCTCAAGTGCCTCCGACACAGCCGGTACGAAGCTCCTCTCGAACGAGGTCGCCCTCGCATCCAGGCCTTGAACCCAGCTCCTCAACGACGATGGCTCACAGTCGGTCTCACCGACACGGCCATTATAACCACCCCACACCCCCCAGAGGCGATGCACACTCCAATCCCAACGTTTAAAACCTAGAACACCTTGGGGATTCAGTCTCGGCATCAGCGGCACGGCCATTACGAACCGACCACCACCGCCGCCGCCACCGCCACTCCACTCGCCGAGAGACACTCGGGCACGTCCACACGCTGCTGTATCATCATTAGCATTCCGTGGCAGCGGCGGTGGTGGTGGCTCGTGCACCAAGACGGCAGCATCTCGCGGCACGTGCCACCACGGTCTACCCAAGGCGGCAGCGGCGTCAACGCAAACAGCGCTGGGGATTTTGCCGACTGCTCAAAGCCCAGATTGAAAACTCATTTCTTCAAAAACTGCTCGTTGTTGTTGTGAGCGAGTGTGTGTGTGCGCAAGTGTGTGTGTGCACAAGTGTGTGTGTGTAGGTTTGTGCGCGTGTGGTGTGTGCGCGTGGTGTGTGCGCGCGTGGTGTGTTTGCGCGTGTGGTGTGTGCGCGTGGTGTGTGTGCACGTGTGGTGTGTGTGCGATGTGTGCGCGAGTGTACGTGCGTGTGGTGTGTGTGCAAGTGTTCGTGCGCGTGTGTGCGCGCGAGTGAGCTCATGAAAAGAATTGTCAAGTTCAAGGACCTGGTGCAGAACATACGCATGTGTGTATGTAGAACTTCCTTCACACCATATGTAGCCAACCGCGCCAAAATATGGAGGCGCTGGGGAAGGACAACAAACTAAACACAAAAAGCGCTCTTCCTTCCGATGCTGGGAAGCCACTGGAGCTATGCACTTTTAAATAATACAGATTGAAAACGAATTTCTTTCGAACTGCTTGTCGTGGTGTTTAGTTTTGTCGTCCTTCCCTCTCCCCTACAATCGCACCTCCGATCAGCACGGTTGCTTGGATACGTAAGGTGTGAAAGAAGTTTCAATGTACACACACGTACGATGCACGCCGAACAGAACCCGCACATCAAGGCCGCGTATCTCCCTCCCTCCTCCCACCACCACCAGCAGCGCAAGATTAAAAGCACCCCCACACACAACCTGCTCTGCGAGCGTTATAAACAATGGACCTCCTCAACCCACCCACCCAGTCACCTGAACCCAGCCAGCCACCCACACTGCCACCCATCACAATTTGAGAGCCTCCCACTCGTTTGTAGGAGGTAAGGGGAAGCTCCATCATCCACACAGCAGCACCCCCAGAGGAACCTTGGGTTGGCTCAAAGAACCACGACATACAAACATTGACGACTTGCCACTGCTCCCTTTGCAATGAGTCTACTGCAGCAGAAGCCCTCTCGACGACCACCTAACGACTAATCACTTAACAACATGCCTCCATAGGGCCAATGTGTAGCGTACAATAATGTAGTGTGAGAATAGGTTTTCCCTATTTTTCTGGCAACAAAGCAGCTGCGTTGAGAATGTTAAAACACCAAACTGAACACTTTTACAAGGAATCATGTCTGCATTAACCACAATACGTGTGGTCAGAATGCAAACAAAAAAACTCTAATATATTCATTGTCTTTGAAACGAATTGGTCCACACCAGAGACAGCTTTCTTTTGAGCCGAGTCTCAAAACGGTGTTTGACCAGAGGACGCCAAAAGGCAAACTAATAATGTCGTGTGTAGTGTATAGTGATGGCACATTGGCCATGGAGCCCAATGTGTTCGCTTACCAACCATTCTCCCCTGTTAACGACAGACTGTTGTGGGTACAGTAATATTAATGCATCAATTAACCGTGTTTCTTTTAATATTACGCATTTATGTTGTTGGCATCTTTACGTAAAAATATACCAAATAAATGAAACTGAAATAAACTGAAACTGATGTATTAATATCCATTGTTTAAATATTATAAAGTATGTTTTTGGGTGAACAAGGCGTAATCTCAATCCTATCGGAACGAATTTAGTCTTGAACGTGCTATTTCTGTCGCTCGCTTGACGACCGTCTCGCTTAACGAATTACCCTCGTTGAGAGGAGGGGGTTCTACTGCATTCCGAAGCAAACCACACGGCAGAGGCAGGAGCAGCAAGCGCCTCATCAAGTGACACGCAGGTGAGGGGAGTCTTTCCTTTGTTACGATTGCACTGGAAGGTCTGGAGAGATCCAACGTGGTACACACATAATCAAGTCCCTGGGTATGAATCGAGATTGAAAACTAATTTCTTTCGAACTGCTGTTTGTTGTCCTTCCTCCCGCACCTCCGATGAAGAAGTTCACATATAACGTGACAAGTTGGAAAAACAAAATGTTGAAAAATTGTAGCTCTTATAAATTATGGTCCTGATGATGACTGCGTTAACTTATAGCACTCATACTCAGTCTACACTCGTACATTGCTTTCACTCATGCTAAACACTTACAAATATACGACCCGATTATCGGTGAACCGAGTAATTTGCATCCCGTAGAGTGTGACGCTAAAGCTGACGGAAACTAAAACGAGAAATTATTTTCAATTTTAACAGGTCAGGCCAACTGAGCAGCAGCTCTTTTTCAGAAAAGACTTTGCCACAAATGAAAGCTCAAACTTAGTGGCTTCTCATCATCACGTGAAAATGCAGAGCACCCAAGCATTCTAAACGCGTGATGTCGATTCTGAATGTGGAGGGCAAAATCGGAGGACCCGGGGAGAAAATTCACGCGACCACGGGGAGAGAGAGAGACACGCAAACTCCAAATATACAGCAGGAGTCAGGGTTGGGATCGAACCCACGACCTCCTCCATACCAGGCCAAGGTAGTGAACGTCTCTCCCTGTGGTGGCATACATTTTTCTCCGGGCCTTCCAGTTATTTCCTCCACGTTTAGAATCGACATCGCACGTTTGGAGTATTTGGCTGCTGTAAACTTCCAGGTGTAAAGCCACTTCGCTATAATGGGCGGCCAAGTCGCTTGACCACAAAAGACCGACGTAGCTCAGCGGGACTCACACAGCCCTTTTGTCTATCCGCCGCCGCTGGATGAATTCCGCCTCGCGCCGTGCTCCTGATCCCGCCCGTGCGTTTGTTGTTCGACCATACTTCACCACGCACGCCGGGCCCGTGCGGGTTGCTCAAGGGGCCAAGTCGCAAAGGGCAGCTTGAGATATCACCCGCCACGGACGTCGGCCGTGCCCGCTAGTCGAACTCGGGTGGCCGGGTTCATTCATCGCGCAGCGAACGAACCACCCCAGCTGCTGCACTGCCGTTCCACCCCGCTGCTCTCTGTGTAACCATCATCATCATCATCCATGATCAATCAACTGCTAGATGAAGGCCTTACCAAGTCATGTATGCAGACCGTCTTTCGCACCGTACGTAAACCATCATCATCAGCCATGATAAATCCACTGCTGGACAAAGACCTCCTCAAGCCACCATCATCAGCCATTGTCAATCCACTGCTGGTCGAAGGCCTCCCCAAGCCATCAGCTATGATCCATCCACTGCTGGATGAAGGCCTCGCTTCCCAAGCCGCCGCCGCAGTAACGATTCACGCAGTAGCAGCAGCAGCCGTGCTGCACACCACGAGCGGATTCAATCGCTCCATCTCCACGGTTGGACGTGCTGTAGAACACCTCTCGGGACGCGTGTTTGAGCGATGTCCTCAGCAACCAGCACGCACTAGCGGGGGGGGGGGGGTCAAAGGTCCCCCGAGTAGCCTGTAACAGACTGGAGGGGCAAGTGCTGTTAATGAGAACCTACGAAATCCGGCAGGGCCCACGAGGGAGTGGGTGGCCATCACCACGCCCGGCCGCCTTCGTCTCCCTCGGGGCGCGATGTCACGCACCACTCCAGGTACTCATTTGAGGCCGAGTCGACCTAGGGGAGGCGCAGGTGCCAGTCCAGGCGCTTGCCACTGGGTGTTGCTGGCCGTGAGCGCGAATGGAACCCGCGTCGCCACGTTCGGAGCGGAGCGCGCAAACCGCGACACCACCGCTCCCAACAACCATCACCACCACCACCAACAACAACCCAACAACCATCACCACCACCAACCACCACTACCATCACCACTACCAACCACCATCACCACCAACAAAAACCACTACCAACAACCATCACCACCAACAACAACCGAACCACCACCACTACCAACAACAACCGAACAACAACAATCATCACCACCACCAATAACTAAACAACAGCTATCATCACCACAACCATCACCACCAACAATCATCACCACCACTACCAACAACAACCATCACCACCACCAATAACTAAACAGTCATCAACAACAACAACAACCATCACCACCACCACAACAACGCCAACAACCAACTTAACGTCACCACAGAGGCCGGCAGGCCTCGGCGAAGCGGACAGGGCCCCGAAATCTCCCGTCACGAACCGCCTCGCGCCTCGACTCGTAAATAAGCAGTCGACACCGTCACCACCACTACCAACAACAATAACAACCATCACCACCACTACCAACAACAACCATCACCACCACCAAGCCATCAAAACAACAACTCGGCGCGGGTTGCCCCACCGCGGCTAGGCCGCCTCCTGAGGCCTAGCGCAGGCTTCCTCTCTCCCGTGAGGGGCCCCCCCTCACTCACTCACCCTGCCCACTCGTCGCAACACGCGGCCCGGCGCAACTTCTCTCGTGGGCGCGGCGAGCTGCGTTATCTGCGCGAGGCACAACGACGACGATGTTGACGACGACGACGACTTCAAGTTGTCTCTCTCTCTCTCCTGACGCGTCCAGTCCGACTATTTCTTTCGCTCGCGACTCTGTGAGGCGATTTTTTTCTTCACGTCCCACCCCCTTAAAAGCCCCGCCCCCCCCCCTCGCCCCCACCCCCGCCCCCACCCCCCCCTCGCCCCCGCCCCCCCCTCGCCCCCCCTCGCCCCCCCTCGCCCCCACCCCCGCCCCCACCCCCCCTCGCCCCCGCCCCCCCCTCGCCCCCCCTCGCCCCCCTCGCCCCCACCCTCGCCCCCGCCCCCCCTCGCCACCCCCGCCCCCACCCCCGCCCCCACCCCCGCCCCCGCCCCCCCCTCGCCCCCGCCCCCCCCTCGCCCCCCCCCTCGCCCCCCCCTCGCCCCCCCCCTCGCCCCCCCCTCGCCCCCCCTCGCCCCCACCCCCGCCCCCACCCCCACTTCCCCCTCGCCCCCGCCCCCCCCTCGCCCCCGCCCCCCCCTCGCCCCCACCCCCCCCCTCGCCCCCACCCCTCGCCCCCACCCCCACCCCCGCCCCCACCCCCACCCCCCCTCGCCCCCACCCCCCCTCGCCCCCACCCCCACCCCCCCTCGCCCCCCCCTCGCCCCCACCCCCGCCCCCCCGCCCGCCCCCTCGCCCCTCCCCTCGTCCCCCACCCCCCCCCCTCGCCCCCCCTCCTCGCCCCCCCACCTACTTGCCCGCCCCCACCCCCCCTCGCCCCCACCCCCCTCTCGCCCCCCCCCCCTCGCCCCCACCCCCCTCTCGCCCCCACCCCCGCCAACCCCTCGCCCCCACCCCCACCCACCCCCCCCTCGCCCCAACCCCCCTCTCGCCCCCACCCCCCGCGCTGACGTCACCGCGCCTGACCCCCACCGTTCGTCAGGACCCCACCGCGACCGATGACGACCACTCGGGGCTGCCCGCGGCGCCTGCCGCCAAATTTATACCGCCCCGCCCCCTCCAGCCCCGCCCCTCCAGCCCCGCCCCTCCAGCTCCGCCCCGCCCATCTAGCCCCGCCCCGCCCAGCCCCGCCCAGCCCCATCTAGCCCCGCCCCGCCCCATCTAGCCCCGCCCCGCCCAGTCCCGCCCAGCCCCATCTAGCCCCGCCCCGCCCCATCTAGCCCCGTCCCGCCCCATCTAGCCCCGCCCCATCTAGCCCTGCCCCGCCCCATCTAGCCCCGCCCCATCTAGCCCCGCCCCGCCCCATTTAGCCCCGCCCCGCCCCATCTAGCCCCGCCCCATCTAGCCCCGCCCCGCCCCATCCAGCCCCGCCCCGCCCCATCTAGCCCCGCCCCGTCCAGCCCCGCCCCATCCAGCCCCGCCCCGCCCCATCCAGCCCCGCCCCGCCCCATCCAGCCCTGCCCCGCCCCATCTAGCCCCGCCCCATCTAGCCCCGCCCCGCCCCATCTAGCCCCGCCCCATCCAGCCCCGCCCCGCCCCATCCAGCCCCGCCCCGCCCCATCTAGCCCCGCCCCATCTAGCCCCGCCCCGCCCCATCTAGCCCCGCCCCGCCCCATCTAGCCCCGCCCCATCCAGCCCCGCCCCGCCCCATCTAGCCCCGCCCCGCCCCATCTAGCCCCGCCCGTCCAGCCCCGCCCCGCCGCCGCGTGCCACGGATACCGTGCAGGTTAAATGTTCCACCGAATGATCTGAATCTATTTGTGCGGCTGTTTTTTGTGTTTTGTTTTCTTCACGGGAGATCATCGATTATCCCGGCGGTTTCTCGGGGTGGGGGGAACGCCGGGGTTTTTTTTTTTAAAACATCGGGACATTACTTACAATCGATCATTATTGCACATTCTTGCGTAACATGTTTATCGGTATTGTGTGTATGTTTTTTAGCGCTTTAAATACGTTCACTATTAATGAAATTGGCATCAGTAAATGTACAAATGGACACAAAATAAATGTCCTACCGTTAAAAGTGACCGTATTTACTGTAGCGTACTTAACCACTCCAATCATCTCAATGAGACTGCATCACGGGGTGATGTTAGCAGGCGTACTACGACTACGACGCTCTTGTTTCAACACAACCGCGCAGTTTGAAGATCGCCGGACTGATGACAACGATGAATTTACATGAAGCAGCTTTTATTTAACTCAGTCTGTTGTTGTTGTATCCTCAAATCTTGTAACTCAATTTTAACCCACTTCCCAATGTGGTATCGACTGCAAACTTGGTATACTTATGTCATACTGATGACAATACTATATTCTATCATACAAAATTTTAAAAAGTATTTTTAAACATTCATTTTTCTATGTTATGTTTCGGCTTGGGTCTAATTGTCCACGCTCAACTGGCGTTGGCTGTAAATCACCACGGCCCCTTACGTTGTGGCAAGCCTCGGGGCCACTTCCTGGAGTCGTGGAGTTCTTCCATTACTAGTACGGTACATTTCATTAAAGCGTGTTTAAAATTTTTTTTTTTTAATGTTACTTATATATATTAGCGTGTATTAGTCATAAACCTGCAATAACGCGCAGTGTTTACATTGTTTCAAGTTGTATGTACGTAGTGTATACTGGACCCTACGTAATATTTGACACTGAAATCCAGCGTAGCTGCTTTTTTTGTTGGGTCAAATCTTGTAATCAAAATTTCGTCCTCTTCACATTGTCCAAGCAATTCCACATTTTGCGCACGTACTCAGATCCGGTGACAATGCATGCCTGTATCAAACTCGGCATCAGTTAATCAATTAATTCGTTACTTTAAAGCAATTTACATTTTGTATAGACGCCTTATTATCTCCATATATATAAAAGGCAAAGTTGTGAATATGTGTGTCTGTTCAAAATGTTCAGCGTACTTCCCGACATGCAACAAACTGGAAATTTGCCATGTGGGTACTTTCCAGACTGTACACCATGCAAAAATTATTAAAATACACTTGTGTGTTTTGTTTGGGGGGGGGGAGCTCAATAATGCATATAATTTTTGCACGACAAGTGAGCTGTGACGTCACATCTGTCACGTGACCCGCGCATGTGGAAGCGTAACACATTGTAGTGTAGTGATTAGCACGCTGCGCTACGAACCCCGCGACCCGAGTTCGATTCCCGCTCACGGCCACCACCAGTGATGATTATTTTAACCGGTCCTGGGCCTCCCCTAGGTCCACTCAGCCTCAAACAATTAACTGGTGTGGTGTGTGAACATCGCCACTGGGGAGACAAAGGCGGCCGGGCGTGGTGAATTAAGTCCCGGGCGAAGCCGGGGTGGTAGTAAAGCTAGTTTATATATATATATTTGTGTGAAGGTCAAAAACGCCGCGGTTCCTAAACTGTGCAATCGGCTTGCACAAAACGCAGGTGCCGCGTGTCTCAGGCGCCATGGACGGACTTCTCGACCGTGAGTTGTTAACAAGTTGTTAATAAACCGTGGTTTAACAAAAAACTGTTTTTAAAGGAGTTTATTTGTCACGCGAATGGTGCTGCCGATCGCTGGACCTTTGGATACATTTCCACATGATAAGATCAGGGTTTCTGAAACAGACCTACATAGCTCAGTGGGCCTTACCTAGTAAAATACTTTAGTTGTTGAAATTACCTGGCAAAGCGTTACGGTTACTCGAACCGGTGAGTGCTGAACGGCGGTGGTGGTGGTGGGTTAACAACACATGCATTTATATACAGTGAGGGAAAAAAGTATTTGATCCCCTGCTGATTTTGTACGTTTGCCCACTGACAAAGAAATGATCATCTTCTTGGTTCTTTCGGTAAAGTCACGTAGAAGGGAAGTAATAAAATAATACAAATAAAACATAATAAAATAAGTCTCACGACGTTTCGGCTACAACGCAAGCAGCCGTCTTCAGGTGAAGAATGAAACACTGCCAAGCTTGGAGCGTATATATATAGAGGATTATTTTATTATGTTTTATTTGTATTATTTTATTACTTCCCTTCTACGTGACTTTACCGAAAGAACCAAGAAGATGCATCCCTGCAGTCACGAAAGCTTTAAATCGAAAAAGAAATGATCAGTCTATAATTTTAATGGTAGGTTTATTTGAACAGTGAGAGACAGAATAACAACAACAAAATCCAGAAAAACGCATGTCAAAAATGTTATAAATTGATTTGCATTTTAATGAGGGAAATAAGTATTTGACCCCCTCTCAATCAGAAAGATTTCTGGCTCCCAGGTGTATTTTATACAGGTAACGAGCTGAGATTAGGAGCACACTCTTAAAGGGATTGTTCCTAATCTCAGCTTTGTTACCTGTGTAATAAAGGACTCGACCACGAAGTCTGGCTTGGTGTCCTTTATTCGGTTCTTTCTCGTAACCCACACGGCTGTCCTTCTATAAGGCTTTCCGCTCTGCACTGATACTGCTGTTAACCCCGTCACGCCAACAGCTCCTCTGTTGGTCTCCCGTTGTTCTCGTAACCTTCCAGCAGCCTCGCCGCTGTCACCCTCACGCAGCCCCCACTGGCTGCACTCGCTGCAGTTTCTCTTCTCGTCGCTCTCGTAGCCTCTCACACACAGCCTCGCCGGCTGTGTTCACCGCAGCTCCTCGACCGCCCTCTCTCCAGCAGCCCCACCGCTGTCTTCTCCCGCAGCTCCGCTGGCTGCTCCCTTAGCTGGCCACCGCTGGCCGCCGGTGCCACTCTTCCTGGCTTCGCCCAACGTGGCCTTACTCTTGTCCAGTCTCTCACTCTCTCCCCTCCTCTTCCGGTCTCATCCCTTAAGAACCTTAACCTTGCTCCCACATCACCTAACTCCACCTCTCCGTGACGTCACATCCGGGAGGTCGCCCGCGCCCGCATTACACCTGTATAAAAGACACCTGTTCACAGAAGCAATCAGTCAGATTCCAAACTCTCCACTATGGCCAAGACAAAAGAGCTCTCTAAGGATGTCAGGGACAAGATTGTAGACCTCCACAAGGCTGGAATGGGCTACAAGACCATCACCAAGCAGCTTGGTGAGAAGGTGACAACAGTTAGTGTGATTATTCGCAAATGGACCTGTTGCTCCATGCAAGATCTCACCTCGTGGAGTTGCAATGATCATGAGAACGGTGAGGAATCAGCCCAGAACTACACGGGAGGATCTTGTCAATAATCTCAAGGCAGCTGGGACCATAGTCACCAAGAAAACAGTT